CTCTCTTCCTTATTCTATATCTTTCTTATATCTCTTACCCCCAACTATCTCCTTCACCATAGGCTCTGATAAAGAGGTGGCCTTTCCCCTTGCCAGAGCCCAACCCCGCTACTTACACCGTTGACCCCACACCCTAGAGTCTTCCCTAGCAGATTCATCATCTTCACTCCCTCTCTTATCTTCAACCTCTCCCCATCCCCTGGGTCTTACCTTGCTGCGTACAAACAGGCCCATGTCTCCCTCGCCCAACTGAAACTGCTCTCCCCAAATTTACCAGTGATTTCTAAAATTCAAAATGGTTTTTTTCTCAGTCCTCACCCTTCTCAACCTTTTCTGCTTCATTCAACACCCTCTTCTCCTGAATACTCTCTCCTCTTTAGGTCTTCATCATACTACTTTCTCCCGGTTCCCTTCCTACCTCTCTGATCACTCCTTTCTTAGTCTCTTTGGACTCTTAACTGTCCATGTCCCCAAAAGCTCCATCCTGGGCCATATTCTTTTTTCCTTCAATACTATTTCACTTGGTGATCTCATCAGTTCCTATGGGCTCAATTACCAATGCAGATGATTCTGAAATCTATATGTCCAGCCCTGGTCTCTTTCCTGATCTCCAACTCATATTATCACCTGTCTTTTGGATATATCAAACTGGATATAACACAACATGTCCAAAACAGAATTCATTATGTTTCCACCCAAGCCCTCTCATCTGATGAACTTTCCTATTACTATCTAGTGTCCTCATCCTCCCAGGCTCTCAGTTCCCATGGTCTTGGTAGAAACCTCACTCTCACTCACCCCATATATGCAGTCTATTGCCACATCTTGTCATTTTTACCTTCATAACAGCCTTTATATACATCCACTTCTCTTCACTCCCACAGCCACTACCCTACTTCAGTCTCTATCTTTCATCTAGACTATTACAACAATAATAGTGATAATAATGAGCATTAATTAAATGCCTACTACTTGCCAGGCACTATGCTAAGTGCTAGAGATACAAAAATAAGCAAAAAAGTTTCTGCTCTCAAGAAGTTCACAGTCTAATGGGGAGACAACATGGAAACTATGTACAAACAAGATATATGCTAGTTAAATTGGCAGGGGGTGGGGGGGAAATCAACAAGCAAGGCACTAAGATTAAGGAAGACTGGGAAAGGCTTCTTAAAGAAGGTGGGACTTTAGCTGAGGCTTGGATACTAGGACCCACCTGGCTATTCTTCATCAACTGGACTTTCAATATTTTTTTTTCCTGTAAAATAGGGGGAGAACTCAATAATCTCTAAAGTTCCTGCCAGCTCTGACATTTTGTGATCTCAAGGACAAGTCAGGCCAGACTAATCTGAATTTTTTTTACAGGACTGCTAGATTGTCAGGGACAGTTAGGTGGAACAGTGGATAAAGCGTTGGGCCTGAAGTCAAGAAGACTACTCTTCCTGAGTCCAAACCTGGTTTCAGATACTTAGTAGTTGTGTGATCCTGGGCAAATCACTTTATCCTGTTTGCCTCAGTTTCCTCATCTGTCAAATGAGCTGGAGAAGGAAATGGCAAACCACTGCAGTATCTTTGCCAAGAAAACCTCAAATTGGGTCACAAAGAATCAAACATAACTAAAAATGACTGAACAACAACAACTGTCAGGGGAATGCCATAGACATAGTTTAGAACTTTAGCAAAGCATTTGACAATCTCTCATGCCCTACTTATGGATAGATTTAGGCTCCAGGGATGGCAGTTAAGTTAGGTTAGCAACGACTGAATGACTAGACCTATAAAATGGTCATGAATGAGTTGGCTTCAGTTTAGACAGAGGTCTCCAATGGAGTGCAATAAGGACTTGTTTATGGCCTTGTGCTGTATAACATCTTTAGCACTGATATAGACAATGGCAGAAATGGTATGCTTGTCAAATTTGCAGATGATACAAAGCTGGAAGGGATAGAGTCAGTTTCCAAAAAGATCTTGCTGGGGTGGACTAGAACATTTGTCTAAATATAATAAAATGAAACTTAATAGGGATAAATTTAAAGTCTCATGGTTTGACTCAAATAACTTCAGAAGTATAAAATAGGTATGAGAGTATAACAAGTATAAAATGAGTCAGGGGCATGGTGTCAAAGTTTAGGAGAGTCAGAAGAACAGCCAAGAGGAAAATGAAGCACAGTTACCTGGGCCTTTACCTAAAATGGAGGTCCCAAAAGGAACTCACAAAATGGAGAAACATAAATAACCACTGGTCAGAAATATTATAGAGCAGAGGTGTCAAACACACTGCCCTCGTACCACATCTGAATGCAGATTGAACTAAATTAAAATTTAATTGGGAAATATTCAGCAAAATAAATATAGTATTACATTTTAAAACTAAGTCAATATGTGGCCACAGGGATCCTTATGCACAGATTAGTTGTCCTATGTCTATTTAAGCTTGACACCACTGTTATAGAAGAGATTCCAGTTCATGATTGGACCAGATAACTTCTGAGATCTTTTCTGAGATTCTATGATATTTTAGATGTCAAGTGACAATATCTACAAAGGTCTGGTGTTGGGAAAAAGTAGAACTAGTCTGAATAGAATGGAAGATTAAGTTTTGAGAGCAGTGAGAAATACATTTCAAAAAACGGTCTTAAATGTAGGTATCTTCTAAGGCTCTATCCCAGGTCCTGTTCTCTTAAAGAATTATAAAAAATTCCTACGGGTTCACTTATTATCTCGATGCAGACACCTCAGATCTCTGTACCTTGGCCTTATCTCTTTCCTGAATCTGAGTTCCACATCCCCACCTGAGGTTCTACCATACCTCAAATTCAAAGTGGTGCCAACTGAAATCACTGTCTTCCCTATACTTTTCCTTTCTCCCAACTTCCCTTTCTCCACTGATAGCACCATCATTCTCCCAGGCAATCAGCCAAGAAGTCTTTGACTCCTCCTTCTGTAAGGCTATTTCATTTTTGCATTCTTCTTAACACAGTATATGTCAGAGATCACATTTTTCCCTTACATATACACTTCTTCCAACAGTGCAGATAGTAACCTTTCCATATCATATGACACAGCTTTTGTGAGCTGCTATGGGCAGAGCTGATGGTAAACTTTCTGGCGATCAATTCAGACACAGTTGCTAGGCTATAATTTGAATGAATGATAAAACAAATTCAGCACTTTTTATGAGTTAAGCATTGTCCTAAGTACTGAGGATACAAATAGAAAAGTAGATAGTCCCTGCTCTAAAGGAGCTTATATTCTAATAGGGGAGTGGTGCCTAAGGAGAGGCCAAAAGGTACCAGGATGGAGAGGAAAGACATTAAGGAATAGATTGACCACCCATTTCAGGAATAATGGCATAATTGATTTAATTATGACTCTAGAACCTTGGGGTGGGATTATGGAAAAGACATATACCTAGGCTGTCAATAAGATCGCTGGAGAAAAGGGAATGGAGTGAAGCACGGCCTTTCTGAAATATTGGGCTAGGAAAGGAGTAACAATGTGTGTGGGAATGTGGGTGTGTGTGTGAATGGCATATGTTTTGGAGATGAAAGAATTAAAACCTCTAGGACAGCAAGACTGTTGGTAAGATTTTCTACACATCTTGGGTGGCAGTTACTTGAAACTTTTCCAATGTATTATTAGGACCAGCAAGAGTTTGGGCTGAGGAAGGATCATCTCTACACCACCACACTTGGGCCACCTAAGGACTTTATTAGCACTGACCCGCTGGTACTGAATGTTTGGGGAATCACCTGTGGGGCAGGGATTCTTGTTCTCATTTTATAGAGGAAGATACTGGTGAACATTTCTAAAGGATTCACAATGAAAAATGCTATTCACCTCTAGAAGGAAAACTGATAAACTCTACATGCAGATTGAAGCAAACTTTTTTTCACTTTTTTTCTTGCCTTTTTTTTTTTTTTTAAAAACAAAGCTAATCTGGAAATGTTTTGCAGGCTCCATACGTATAATTGATATTATATGGCTTGCCTTCTCAATGGGTAGGGGAGGGCGAGAATTTGAACCTTAAAAATTTTTTAAAAGATTTAAAATATAGCTGGGAAACATTTAACAAAATAAAGAAAAATAAGATAGAACATAGAAAGATACTGAAGCTCAGTATCTCAGAGATAGGCCCTGGTTTGTCTGAGTATGGACCAGCCCTAGGAAAGGAACCCAGGTTTTCCCATCCCCAATTTCAGGGCTCTTTGCACTACAGAAGGCTGGGCGGGGGAGTGGATCCCAGGGTGCAGAGATCGGCTCTGGAAGAGATCGGCCCAGCTGGGTCAAGACCCCTGACCGCTCCCGAAAAAAGGGGGGCTGGGTGAGCTTCTCCAGCGCTCGCGATTCGCTTGTGGGGTAGATACTACGAGAACCCACTGGGCCCAGGCTGCAAATCGAACCGAACGCAGAACCAGCAGCAGACAACTAATGCCAGCAATCCTGGGCTCAAAGCCCACCAGATTGAAAGGGCGGGGGGGGGGAGGAGTCGGCAGCAGGGCGCAAGCGCAGTAGCCTACGCCAGACTGGGAACTGCAGGACGTGTGCTTTGGTTAGGGCCTGGTTTTCCACAGCTGTTCCCCTCTGATCTCTTCCCTCACTCGAACTAATTGTCTCCTTGGGTCTCAACATCCTCATCTGTAAAAATGATAGATACACCAGAAGATCTGTCTCCAAGGTGCCTTCCAATTCCAGCTGTCACTCTACGACCTGGGAAACCGATCCTAGACAAATTCCAACATGGCAGCCATTCACGCTGAGCCTGCGCAGTCAGGCGGGTCAGCTCGGGCTGGTGAGGGCGGGAGGTCAGAGGTTAAGGATCTGAGTTCCGCCAGCCGGGCAGCGAAGAGGCGAAAGGGCGGGAAAGAGATGGGGAGGAGGGGAGACATTGAGGAGGGGGCGGGGCCTGGTCCAATCCCAGCCCCGGCCCACCCCGGATGGGCCCCTAGCCCCGTGGCCCCAGGGTGAGCCGGGCCTTCCCTGCAGGAGGACGCCGGCGCGTGGACTCCGCCGCGGAGGCTGCCGGGAGCGGGCACGGGCGCGGGCTGAGGTAGGACGGGGCGGGGCAGTGTTTAACGGTCCCATCCGCGTGTGGGGCAGCCGGGTAGGGAGGCGGCGTCTTCGGGCCATCCCCAGGTCCAGGGCGCCTTTAAAATCCCTGAAGAACCGCAGGGCCAGCGAGGGGCGGTGTAGACGATGCCCGCTCCGCCATGAGGCCCCCAAGGTCAAGTGTCATGGATTTCGAGCTGCTGAAGGCTGTGGCGGGCCTCAGCCTCCATTCCCCATGTTTTACAGAGGGAGGGAACTCAGGCCCGGAGACGTGAACTGGCTCACCCCGGGATGCAGAGCTGGACTTGGAACCTAAGTGGTGCAAAAAGAGAGCGCTGGGCCTGGAGTCAGGAAGACCTGAGTTCAAATCCTGCCTCAGGACATACTAGCTGTGTCCTTCTGGGCAAGTCAATTTAACCTCTCCTAGCCTCAGTTTCCAAATCAGTAAAAATGGGGATAAGTTTACCTCCCAGGCTTGTTGTGAGGATAAAATAATATCTGTAAGGCACTTGATGAACGTTAAAAGAGCAATATAAATACTAGCTTATGATTTCCTGACTCCAAATCCAGAGTCCTGTCCATTATACCACTCCTTCCTCTTGCATAGACCTTATTTTCCTTAGTTCACATAATGATGTTGAGCTGCATGGTCTTACGGTACCAGTTCTGTGCTTTTTGGTAAAACTAGCTGAAGAGTTATTGTCTACCATGTGCTTCAGCACCGGTTATAGGAAAAGTCATATCGTAGACACTTATTTGAAAGGTGGGGCTAGAAGTACTAAAGGGAAAGAACACAACTTGCAGTCAGGAGTCCTGTTTCTAGTCCTGTCTCTAGCACTCACTGGCTCTGTGACCAATGGCAAGTCACTTAACCCCTTTAAGCCTCAGTTTCCTCCTTTGTAAAATGGAGATGATAATATTTATTACTTAAATCCTAGGGTGCATGAGAAAAACACTTATAGACTCTTTCCAGCTGCTTAGACCGTTACAGTAGTCTCAACATTCTGTGTAAAGTTAAGACTCTTTACCTGGTATTCAAGGCCCTCCACAATATGGTATCACCCTAACTTTCCAGACTTAACATTATTCCCCTAAATATTATATTACCCTTCCCAGCACACCCTATATTGTTTCCTTACCTTTGCTCAGGTTATTCCTTATTTCTAGAGTTTGCGTAATGAATTGCTACTCATTCCTCAAAGGCTGATTCAAATACCAGCATGTTTGTGAGATTTTCCCAGATCCCTCTCCATCTGTAGTGACCTTCCCCTTGTACACTTACCTAATATGTAGTACAGAATCATAGCATTTAGAATTGGAATTAGAGATAATTTAGTTCAAATCCCTTATTTTAGATTTTTTTGTTACTTTCCTTATCTGATTAATCGAGGGTATAGACCATGTCAAAACTTTTGCAGTGCACAGTGCTTTGCAAACATTAAGTGGTTAATGAATGAGTGAGGCAAAAAGATCTGTTAGGAGGTTCTTGCCATAGACTGGTAATAAGGACTGATACTAGCTAGTGGCAGTGGAATAGAGAAGGAAAGAACTGATGTAAGAGATGTTAGAAGGTGGAATCAACATGACTTTGTAACTGAATATGAGAAATGAATGAGAGAAGGAGAATTAAAAATAATCTGGAGGTTATCAACAGGGTAAATGGTGGTGCCACAGACAGAATCAGTAATGTTCTTAGGAGGAGTAGAATAGGTGAAAGTATAAGAGGAAGAGCTGAGCCGTGTACATGTTGAGGCACTGGTAGGATATCCACTTGGAGGTTTTTTGGAACTCAGAAGAAAAGTCAGACCTCCTATGAGAGTGAACTGCCCCATTTAGGTAGTATTTGTTTTCCTCTCTCTTTTGGATTTTGCCAAGAATCTGAGGAGGTTTGACAACTTTTTCCCTCTTCTTTCACTAATGATCCTATTCTATCCTCTCTCTTCCAGCAGATTGCTCCTTCTATCATCCCCACTCTCATTTATCTTTAATCTCTCTCTGTCTTGTATGCTTCCCTATTGCCTACAAACATGCCCATGTCTCCCCTGTCCTCACAAAACCTTCACTTAATCTGTCCATCTCTGATTAATGTCATCCCATATCTCTTCTTCCTTTTGTAGCTAAATTCCTTGAGTAGGCTGTTTACAAGACCTCCACTCCTCCTCTTACTCTCTTAACTCTCTCTACAATCAAACTTCCAACATCATCCAACCAAAATTGCTCTCTCCAAAGTCACTAATGATCTCTTAATTACCAAATCCAGTGGCCTTTTCTCAAACTACATTCTTCCTGACCTTCCTGGAGCCTTTGACTGTATATCACCCTCTTCTTCATGATAATCTCTTCTCTCTAGGTTTTCAGGGTACTACTCTTTCCTAGTTCTCTTCCTGATTATGTGACTATTCCTTCTCTGTCTCCTTTGCTAGATCTTCATTCAGCTTGGGTGTTTGCTAACTGTGGGTGTCCCCTGGGCTTTGACTTGAGCTCTCTTCTCTTCTCCCTCTATACTACTTTACTTGGTGATCTCATCAATTTTCAGGGATTCCATTATCTGTATGGTGATGATTCTCATATTTACTTATCTATCCCTAACCTCTCTGCCTATCTCTGCTGACCATCAGTCTTGCATCTCTAACTGCCTATCAGCTATCTGAAACTAGCTGCCCAGTAGACATCTTAAACTCAACATGTCCAAAACAGAACCCATTATCTTTTCCCCAAAACCCTCTTCCCTTCCAAACTTCCCTATTACTGTCAAGGATATCACCATCATCCTAGGCCCACAATGTTGATGTCATGTTTGACTCCCCTCTGTCTCTAACCCCCTCCTCACCTTCTGCCACTAACCAATCTGTTGCTAAGGCCTATCGATTTCACTTTTGTAACTTCTCTCACACTTGCCCCCTTCTTTCCTCTGCCATTGCTACCAAACTGGTAAAGGCCTTTATCTCTTCCCACCTGGATTATTGGCACAGCCTGCTAGTTGGTCTGTCTGACACAAGGCTCTCCCCACTCCAGTCCATCCTCTGTTCAGCTGACAAAGTGATTTTCCTAAAGCGCAGATCTGACCACTTCTCCCCACTGCTAGATCAACTCCAGTGGCTCCCTATCATCAAATACAAAATCCATTAAATTCCTTCATAACATAACACTCATCCCCGCCCCCCCCCACATACACCCCTGCTTTTCAATCCAATGACACTAGCCACTTTGCTGTTCATCAAACAAGACATCTTGGGGCATTTTCTCAGACTGTCCTCCATGCCTGAAACTCTCCTTCCTCATCTCTGCCTCCTAGCTTCCTTCATGCCCCCGCTAAACTTACACATTCTAAAGGAAACCTTTCCTGATCCCTCTTAATTTAATTTGAGTGCCTTCCCTCTGTTGATTATTTCCTATTTATCCTGTATATAGGTGTTTGTACATAGTTGTTTGTATGTTGTTTCTCCCATTAGATAGTGAGCTTCTTGAGGACATGGACTCTCTTTTGCCTTTCTTTGTATCCCCATTGCTTAGCATGGTGCCTGGCACATAGTAGGTGTTTATTAACTTACTGTTAGGAGATAGGAGTGAATCTAGTGCCTTAAAGTGGGAATTGAGGCTTTAAGAATTAATAGGATTGCCAAGAGAGAGAGCAAGAAAGAGACAGGAGGGTTAAGGATAGACCCTTGGGGAACATCTCCTTTAAAGAACCTAAAAGATAGGAATGAAGGAAAGAAAAGAAGCAGATAGACAAAAGGAGAACTAGGTGTCTCTGAAACTAAAGGAGGAACTTTCAGAAAGGGTCAGTAGGAAACAGTGTCAAAAACTGTAGCGGTCAAAAGGGGTGGAATTTGGCAATTAAGTCATTGGTGACTAGAGCAGTTTTAGTAGAATTATGAAAGGTAAGTATCCTACCTACTAAGGTAGGGTACAGAAGTCATATTGCAAGTTGTTGAGCAGATATGAAGTATTGACAGCCATTTCAAATCTAGCAGTGAAGGTGAGAAGACAGATGGGTTGGGAGCTGGATGAGTTAGCTAGAAGGATCGGGCAACTGACTATATTTGTAGGCAAATGGAAAGGGAGAGATTGAAAATACATGAAAGAAAGAGGATGACTGCTGGAGCAAGCTACTGGAAGAAGTGGGAAGAATTGGGATCAAAAAAGGCTGTACACAAAGCGATTATCCTTAATGGAGAATGAAGATGATTTCTATGACCAGAAGGAAAGAAGAGAAAGGATAAATTGATATTTGTTCTTAGCTCCCTCTTCTCTCCAATTCCGTACCTCAAAAACCTTCAGTACCATACCCTATTCTTTCCCTCTTTGCTCTTGTATCAGAAAAAGAGGTGATCTTCTTCCTAAGGCCACACACTTTATGTGTGCCTTTGACTCCGTCCCCTTCTGTCTCTTCCAGGAGCTTATCCTTCCAAATTATTCCTTTTCTCTCTCTCTCTCTCTCTCTTTTTTTTTTTTTTTAAGGCAATTGGGTTTAAGTGACTTGCCCAGGGTCACCCAGCTAGTAAGTGTCAAGTGTTTGGTCTGAGGCCAGATTTGAACTCAGGTCCTCCTGACTGCAGGGCTGGTGCTGTATCCACTGCATCACCTAGCTGCCCCCCTTTTCTCTTTTTTTAATCAGTCTCTTTTTAGCCTGTCTTCTAGCTGCTTTCCCAATTTTACAAATAGCCCAATCTCCCCCGTCCTGCCATCCTCACACTTTGCCTGTAACTTCCATTCATTGCCCCTCTTAGATCACTTAAGTGGTTGCAGAATTCACAATACCTCTCCTGTTCCTAGAATCATCATCATCATCGTCATAACTCATTTCTATAGTACTACATTTAAGATTTACAAGATAATTTCTTCCCAACTGAGTTGTTAGGTAGTGAGGGATAGTATTATTAACATTTCATAGATGAGGAAACTGAAGTTCAGAGAGGTTATGTGGTCTCAAAGCAAGTGAGTTTCGGAGCTGCTGAAAGAGACCTTAATATTCATGTAAGGAAAGTCACCGTAAGGAGGAAACTAAGAGAGGGTTGACTTATTCACACATCAAGCTGTGGCAAAGCTAGAACTACACCCCAGATCTCTTGGCTCCCACTGCAGGGCTCTTTAAAATTCTGTTGCCTTCTCTATTGGGCCCCTGTCTGAGTCACTGATGAGATTGAAGTCCATAGCCTACAGTTGGCCTTACATGTCCCTCCTTTGGCATAACTACTTTTCAAGGAGAGTGAACTGCCCTACTTGTTTTCCACTCTCTTTTGAACTCTGCCAAGAGGCTGGGCAGGTTTGACCACCTTCTTCATGTGCTTCTGTCTCACAGCCCAATAGCAAACCTGAGCAATGCACTCATGGTGATAAAACCTGCCAAAGAGTAAGCAGAATAGACATGTGCTTCCTGCTGCAGAAAGACAAGACTCACTGGCCTGGTGTCTGGTCCTCAAATGGAGGCAAGAGACCACGGGCGAGACATGAAGCCCCAGCCTCCACATATGGCACTGGAGAAGCAGATCCTGGCACTGCAGCAGCAGATGGCAGAGAACCAGGCTGCTTCCTGGCGAAAGCTGAAGATCTCCCAGGAGGCCCAGCTGAGGCAGGCAGTACTTGTGAGAAAGCTGCAAGCCAAGGTGAAGTAGCTACTATTCTGTGGAGGTTTGGGGGACAAGTGAGAAGGAAGAGAGATGTCTGAGAAGAAACCCCTCTCAAGTGTTCAGGGTGGTGGCTTAGCAGCTTCTAGTAGGATTGTTTAGTGAGATGAAGAAAGTCTTTGGAAATGTTAGCTTATGTTCCTTTCATGAGCAAAATGAGAATTCTGCTCTGTTCATAAATGTAAACAGTTTCTCTTAAGGATTTAGGTAGGAAAATGCTCTAACCTAGTATTGTCTGCATCCACTCCAATAACAAGAGCTTACACAGCCCTCTGCAGGTTTGCTGGGCAGCCACAGTTAGTATCAGCAGTGTCCATTGAGTGTGGCCTGGGACTCTTTTTCTAGGTACTGCAGTACCGGAACTGGTGTCAGGAGCTGGAGCAGCAGCTAGAGAACATTGGGGTAAGTGGACATGAGCTCTGAACACCCATACTATGTTTCCTCTGGGCATTCAATGAATCAATGTTACATGAAATATGGGGAGGCCATACCTAGGCTGAATACACTCACTGCTTTGCTGCTAAGAGCCCTGCTGGTCTCCATTGCTGTGGGGCCCCTATTTTCTGTCTGAGTGCTGGCCTTTGATGAGAAGATCAGCATCAATCCCTCCTCCGTTTGCCTCTTGGAACACAATCACATAGGTCCCTTCATGAGACAGCCCCCCCTATATCAGTTACTTCCAGCCTTAGGACTTCTGGCACCTGTAGCCCATGGAGACTGCCTGCGTGCCTGCCAAGGTGAAACCTGTGAAATGAGAGAGAAGGAATGAATTTGTCCTCCTGCAGGTGCTAGTGCTGGCTGAGCTGTCTTTGCACGTGTGTGTGTGTGTGTGTGTGTGTGTGTGTGTGTGCGTGCGTGTGCGTGCGCGTGCTTGAGTCCTCGTCCCAAACTGCACATGCTAACGATGAGGGCTGGGTAACATATTGGTGCCTTAGGGCACCTGCCACGTGTATGACAGTTGGCTTTCATGGGATCTGTGAGGGAGATTCAGATGTCCTAGTATTTTCTGTGGAAAAACATCTTCAGAGTGAACTTTGCTAAAGGGAAGAGGGGTCCCTGATTCCTTCTGGGCAATAAGGATGCTACAGTTAAGATTGTGATTTACAGAAGGAGACTGGCATATATGGGGAAGAGAATCAGGGGAAGGTATATAGAGGCTTTGGTTTGAGTAGTGATGATCTGGCTAGAGGTAAATAAGGTTTCTTTGTTTTGTCTGGTTAAGGGACCTATCCCAAAGAGGTGGGAAAGTGCTGAAGAGCCCAGACTGGAGCAACTGCTGATCCGGCTGGATGAAGAACACCAGAGGTGATGACCCCAAGTTCTTTAGTGTGGGGATTAGGTAGCCAAGTGGTTAAGGTTATTCTCAATAGGCCAGACACCCCTTGTTTAGCTGCCACATCTTGGATTCCTGACAAGGGACAGGGCCAGTATTTGCCATTGTACTCTACATTCAGAGGTTAGGGAATTAGACTACACTTATATTTTCTATTTTTATCCCTACCCCAAATCAGGTCTGAGAGTTTGGTGAAAGTGAACACAAAGCTTCAGCAGCACCTGGAGAAAGCTGATGTGGTGAACAAGGCCCTTCAAGAGGATGTGGGAAAGTTAACAGTAGACTGGAGCCAAGCTCAGGATGAGCTGGCAAGGCGACAGAGTGACTGGCAAATGGAGAGGGAGGTAGGGCATGCAGGAAACCTAGGCAGTCCAGTCATTTAAGGACAAGGAGTTTTATTTGCTAACAGTAGGATTCATGGTCCAGAGCCAGGGCTAGAAAGGTTAATTTTGGGTCTCGTCAGGGGACTGGGTTTCCAGTGCTCAGAACTTTCAGTAGTAGCTCTGGCTCCTTGGAGCTTTAGCTCAGTTCTCTGCTGGGATGACTTATTCCTGGCTAAAAAGTCTCATTGATAAATGGCATAATACTAAGTGACTCCATTCCTGCAGAGGTGGCTTATGCCTACCTAAGGGGGGGGCCCAGCTGGGACTGGCAGTTTTCTGACACCATTAGTATGGATGATGAGGTAGAGGGTAGTGAGTTGAAACAGGTTCCATACCTCCTGGACTGGCAGTGGTGACCTCTGACTTTTGAGATGATCTTAGTTTCCAAACATTCAGTTCTTCAAGGGCTACGTGAAAGGGGAACATGGCCGCCTTCTCAGCCTATGGCGGGAGGTGGTGACCTTCCGACGCCACTTCATGGAAATGAAGACAGCCACTGACAGGTCAGTGAGGAGAATGGTGTGGGAGGACCTGAAACTTTAAGCGGGAATGAGGAACGGGAGCATAATCTCCTCCTCCTTTCTAATCTCCATTAGGATGGGGTTTGAAGGCACAAAAATAAATGACAAAGTGAAAAAGGAGAGTATTTGAGGTGGAGGAATAGCGTGACATAATAATGTGCATGGGCTGTATGTAGCAGCAAGAAAATGAGGAGAATTGTCTGACCATAGCAGAGGGGATATATTGGGGAATAGTGACAAATTAATCCAGATGATTCCCTCCAGAGGCAGGATCCTCAGGGTTTGGTGGGCTTCATTTCATCATACCCTTTGCCAGTCCCTCCCAGACTCTTTTGTGTTCCTTCAGGGACTTGGCTGAGCTAAAGGCTGAACATATGAAGATTTCAGGTTCCCTGCTGTCCAGCTGCCTGCACCTGAGCTTGGAATTACAGTCCCGGGAGCCTCAGGGGTCAGGGAGACTGGCTGGCAATGAGCGGGCCCATCTACAACTAGTAGCCAGAACCCAGGAATTGGAGAAGGAAATACACGAAAGAAGCCAAGAACTTACCCTTCTGAAGGCCAGAGGGAATATAGAGAAGGCAGAACTTCAGGATAGGTGAGATGATGGGGGTCCTGGAAAGGGATATTAAAAGTAAAGCAACTCTCCAAGGAGCTGGTTATTGGTGCCAAATAAGTGGGTAGTAACCCAGAGCCTTCCTGTCTTCATAGGAGGAAAGGAGATTAATCAGTAAGCATTTATTGAACACCTACTATGTGCCAAGCACTGTGGGGGATGCAAAAATGATAGTGAAACACTCTGTCCCTGATCTACCAGAGGAGGCATGTATACATATAGATAGGTTGTACACAAGAGAACTAGGAAAATTTCTGGAAGAAGGCACTAGCAGCTGGAGAGATCAGGAAAGGCTTCATGTTGAAGGTGATACCTGAGCTGAGTCTGAGAGGAAAAATAGTCATTCTAAAAGGCAGAAGTGAGGAAGGAATTTATTCCAGGCAAAGGAAATACCAATCAAGCTTAAAGACACCAATAGGAGAAATGAAATGCCATGTATGAGGATCTATAGTGTGCGTGAAGGAAGTAATGTGTGATAAGACTGGAAAAGTAGTTTGGGGCCAGGTTGTGTCAGGCTTTAAATTCTAAACAAAGGGGTCTATATTTGATCCTAGGGGAAATAGGAGCCACTGGAACTTTCTGAGCAGGGCAGTGACATGGCATGACTTGTGATTTGGTAAAATCACTTTGTAACTGTACAAAAAATAGATTGTAGTAGGGAGGCACTTGAGGCAGGGAAACCAGTTAGGAAGCTATTGCAGTAGTCCAAGTGAAAGGTAATGAGGTCCTGAACTAAGTTGGTGATTTTGCAAATGGAGAAAGGGGGGTGTATGAGAAAGATGTTCAAAAGACTTGACAGTTCATTGGATATGTAGGATAAAGGAGAGTGAAAAGTCAAGGATGAGATTGGATGAAGGTGAGATTCCCAAGATTAGGAATCTGGAATGACTGGAAGGATGAGTGGTGCCTTTGGCGGAAAGAGTGAAATTTGGGAAACTAGTGGGTTTGGGGGCAAAGGTAATGAGTTCTGTTTTAGACCTGTTGAGTTGGAGATGCCTATGAGGCATTCAATTTGAAATATCCAATCTGCATTTGGTGATATGTATGGGTTCAGAGCTGAGGAATGACTAGGGTTGGATGTGTAGATCTAGGAATTATCTTCAGAGAGTGATTGAGCCCACTGAAGTTGATAAGATCAATAAGATATATAAAAAGAAAAGAGAAGAGGGCCCAGGGCAGAGCCTTGGGAGATACTTGCATTTAGTGGATGAGACATGGATGAAGATCTAGCAAAGGAAACTGATGAGTGGTTGGACAGGTAGGAGGAGAACAAGGAGAGGACATTGTCACAAAAATCCAGGTGAGGAGAGAATATCCAGGAGAAGAAATAGTCCACAGTGTCAAATGCTACAGAGATGTCAAAAAGAATGAGGTTGGGGAAAAGGTCATAATATTTGGCAGTTAAGAGATCATTGGTAACTTTAGACAAAGTAGTTTCAGTTGAATGATGAAGCCATATTGCAAACAGTTGAGAATAGAGAAAGCGGAGGTAACAAGTATAGGCAGCTTTTTCTCTCAGAGTTTGGCAGAGAAAGGGAGGAGAAATGTGGGAGAATCATTTGAAAAAATGGGATCGTGGAAACTATAAAGATTTTTTTAAAGGATGGGGAAGGCTTGGGTGTGTTTATAGACAATGAGGATGAAACCAGTAGATTGGGAGGAATTGAAGATTAGGGAGAGAGAGGGGATTATTGTGGTGGCAGTTTGCTGGAGAAGAGGGGAGAGGCTGGGATCAAAGGTACCTGTAGAAGGTAAGGGCCACGTCTTCATTAGAAACTAGAATAAAGGAAGAGATTAAAAGGGATGATATCAGGGGGTTGTGAGATACCAATTAAAAAGTGCAACTGAAAACTACAGTTGTGGCATGTTACTGATCTTTGTTCCTTGCAGAGGACTTTTTTCCCATCTTAGATTTCCCTCCTGGCAGTTTGCCTCCACTAGACTAGCTGTTGAGGTAGTAATGGGGCATTTGAAAATCACATGGAACCTTGAAGGAGTCACAAGTTTAGTAAAACTTATGGCCTTGACAGACTCTTATGAGATGTGCCCTTTCCTTAGAGTATTTTAGGGTCATAAGACAGCAGAATGATAGTTGAACCTTCCTGAACTAAGTCCTTAGTCCCTTTCCTCCTGTCTCCACATGTAACAACATCTCCCTATCAACATCCATATGCAACAGCATCTCCCTGTCAGGAATAAAAACATACCAGCTGAAAGTTACCTGGAAAGAAAAGTGGCGAGTAGTCTTTCAGTATGGGCAAATGTAAGGGAGGAAATAACTAAAACCATCTAGGATTCTGGGCTGTCATTTTCAACCCAGCAAAGGACCTGTGACTCTTCCTGAGCTATTTTCTGAAAACATTGAGTCACTGTGCTGCCATGGTCAAAAATCCTAACCAGAATATCATCTAGAAGGGGATTAGTAACAACACAAACCTATGATGCAAATCCAGTCTCAGACACATGACACTTACACACACAGCTAGTGTGACCCTGGGCAAGTCACTTAACCCCAATTGTCTCACCAAAAAGCTAAATAAATTTTAAAAAAAGAGAGACAGAGAGATACATACTGCCCTAGAGCAGCAAATTGGTGCCTGAGGCCAACTATTGAGCCAAAAAAAAAAAATCTTAGTAACAAGGCTGGAGATAACACTTAAAATAGATTTCTCTTTTAATTCTTCAATTGTGTCAGTGCTGATGAGTGCTTAGAGATCTAAGAGGTTCAAAGTAGGTCCAGTTCCTTGTAAGCCACATCATGAACAGTCGAGAACTATAGGATCTTAAAGTTGAAAGGGATTTTAGTGGTCAAGTAATCTAATTTCCCATCTCTACAGAAATCCCCACTAAATCAGCCCTGATAGAGGTCCGTCTAGTCCCTATAGCACCCCAGTAATAGGAAATTCACTACCTCACAAGGCAGCCCATGAGACTGGTTGGAAATAGTATATAATCATCTCATTATCACATTTCTGAGGCACAGGAAAACTAAAGAGTGCTTAAGGAATCCCATCCAAAATGAGTAAGGAGATGAGGAAGTTTCTAGTTGAAGACAGACTAAAAAGATATGAAAAGACAGACTGGGAAGTGTCGGTATGATCAAAGTTTCAAAAGACATGGTAGGAATGTAAAGGGTAAATCTGGAGAAGCCCAGGCACTCTGAGAGTGCCAGAACTAAGGGGAAAACCTTGAAGACTGCAAGGTAATTTAGGACAAATAAAAGGAAGTTTCAGTTTACAAAGTAGGTGGTTGTACCTTTAAAAATGAGACAGGCTGAAAATACAAATAACTTCAAAAAGGATAAACTCATGGATGACAGATTTGTAATGGGTGGTTCAGAAAAATAAAGATATTTGAGGATGTCCTTAGTCTTTAAAATTGACAAAGTAGCTATAAACTATAACATACTAATAGATGCCCCTATTAGAGACAGAATTCTGGCTAGAGGGATCATAAGACTGTCCCATTGTGGCAATTCTAATGTTCTTGTTGGCTCCAGGGTACTTGACATCAAGACTAACCTGGGCCTGGAGAGCTCCCAGCCCAGGCTTTCCTTCACCTTTCAAGCCCCAAAGCAAGTGTTCCAGCCTTGAGTTGTGGTAAATTTGTGCATGTGTTCTGAATTGCTTTTGGTTTCAACCCAATTCTAGGCTTTAGCATTGTGTGATACTGACAGAGCACAGAGAGGGTTCTGGGAGCACCAGAGAGATGTAGTGGGATTTACTAGAAAAGAGCGCTAAGGGGTGTTCTCAGCAATGAACTGACCATTGTTCAGTAATGTTGTGCCCTTCTCCTTAGGGTGACTGAACTTTCTGCTTTGCTGGCTCAAAGTAAAAAGCAAAATGAGGAGCAGGAAAAGATGATGAAGGCTCTGAAAGACACCATGGATATCCTGGTATGTAGTCTTTTGTCTGGAAGAAGTTGGAGGGGAAGATCCCTGGGTCTCCTGTGTAACCAAGCCAATGTAGTTTATATCAGTAAGTAACCAGTCGAAGGATTTAGTGAAACCCCTCAGTTTGGACTAAGAACCAAATTTGCCAAAAACCTGAAGATGCCTAGGACAATTCCAGTAAAACATATTTAGTGTGTTCCCTTGGCAGTGTGAGGCTGACTCACATTTTAAAAGGAAAAGTCACTAAAGAAGAAGGTAGCAGGACTATTGAATGGTCTGGAAATCATATCATGAGGAATAGCTGAAGAAACTAGGATGTATTGCCTGGATAAAAGACACTTGAAGCGGGACATGATCACTGTCTTTAAATACCTAGGAACTATCATTTGATAGGAGTAGGTTTACTCTGTTCCAGAGGACAGACCAAAGCATAGAAAGAATCTTACTCCGAATGAGTACTTTCTGTCAGAGCTTTCCAATGATAGAATGGCCTGCCTTGTGAGGTAGTGAATTTCCTATCACTGGGGTGCTATAGGGACTAGATGGACCTCTATCAGGGCTGATTTAGTGGGGATTTCTGTAGAGATAGGAAATTGGATTGCTTGACCACTAAAATCCCTTTCAACTTTAAGATCCTATAGTTCTAGGCTGTTCATGCTGTGGCTTACAAGGAACTGGACCTACTTTGAACCTCTTAGATCTCTAAGCAGTCATCAGCACTGACACAATTGAAGAATTAAAAGAGAAATCTATTTTAAGTGTTATCTCCAGCCTTGTTACTAAGATTTTTTTTTTTTGGCTCAATAGTTGGCCTCAGGCACCAATTTGCTGCTCTAGGGCAGTATGTATCTCTCTCTTTTTTTAAAATTTATTTAGCTTTTTGGTGAGACAATTGGGGTTAAGTGACTTGCCTAGGGTCACACTAGCTGTGTGTGTAAGTGTCATGTGTCTGAGACTGGATTTGAACTCATGTCCTCCTGACTTCAAGGCCAGAGCTCTATCCGCTGCACCACCTAGCTGTCCCTAGCATGTATCTCTTGTCTGGGCCCTTTTCGGGCACTGTTGGCTTCTCTGGGTAACCAAGGGGGAGGTAGGATTGGATAAACATCTTTACAGTAAACAGAAAGGTAGCATGTTATAGTTTTAAGAGTACTGGACCCAATCAGAAGAAACCTTATTTCAAATTCCTCTTCTGAAACTTACTAGTTATGTGGCTATGAACGAGTTACTTCACCTCATCTCCAAAGTAGGTTATAATAATACTTGTAGTAGCTTGGCTCAAAGAAGAGATATGAGATGATTCCCCCACCCCTCCTGTCAACAGAGCTGAAAGGTCAATAAATATGGTGTATTGTACATGTTCTCAGACTTTTTCAATATATCGATCAGTTATGCTGATTTTTTTTCCCCTCTTTTTCTTTTTTGTCTTAAAAATTACCATTTATTATATAGGATAGCACTCTGGGTGTGGAAGAGAGAGGGATACTGGGGAGAAATACAATGATGTAAAAAAAATGATAATAAAAACAATTTTAAAAATAATACTCGAAACACCTCACAAAGTTTTTGTGGGGATCCAGTGAGATAGTTTGTTGAGCACTTTGCAAATCTTAAAATGCTATGTAAGTATTGGCTATTTAAGAGCAGTAGAACTATTGTGGCTAGAGATATATAGCTCTAGTTTGCAAGTTCCTAGCTCGTGTCTATGTTCCATTTCCCATTTAGGAGACAAATCGTTCAGAATTAATGGAACATGAGGCATCTCTCACCAAAAATGCCTGGGAAGAGAAGTTATCTCTGCAGCAAGTGATCATGGACATAATGCAGGTATGCATAAGCCAGACATACCTCCTTTGGGTAACCAAGACTACTTATCACTAACCTTCCCACGCGTCCCTCTCCTGTTTTTGAGTTTTTTCTCCTAGTCCAAAGAAATTCATCGGTTTAAGCTTAGAACTTAATGGGTGATTTTTCTTGGGGTTACATGTAGAGAAAGACTGTGAGATGGAAATATGAAAGAGACAAAACTAAATATTAGTGGTCATTTTTAAGTACTAGGAAAGGTGAAACCTCTACCTACCCACTGAGGTTTCTCTTTCTTTTCACTGATTGTCATGTTTGGGACCAGAAACTAGATTAGGTTCCTATTAAATGAAAGTCATATTCTTCACTTTTCCTTTATTTTCCACAAAGAACCTTTCATTGATGATTCATCGATATGTATCCTATTGATACCCTGGATTTTGGGTTTAGGGTAGGGATGATGGAGTTATACCTTATCTTTCAGAATAAGGGATCACTAGTTTGTTGCGTACTGGAATCATACCCTCTTCCCCGTAAAAATTTCAACAGATTGAAAAGATGAGTTGAATCTAACAAAATGAAACTCAATAGAAATAAATATATAGTCCTGTAATGACATTCAGAAAGTCAGCTGCAGAAGTGTAGAATGGGGAAGGACTTCTTTAGACAACAGTTAATGTGAAAAGGTCCTGGATGAGATAGATATAGATAGATAGATACATTTTTTTCCTCCAAATGAACTGCAAGTTGATTGAAAATCAACAATGTGACACAGTAACCAAAAAGTTTAATTCTGTCTTAGGCTGCATTAATGAAGTAGTGTCTAGAAGGGAGGCAGTATTCCCACCATACTCTGTAGTGGTCAGACCATAATTGAATTATACCTTTGTATCCAATTCTAGGTAACACGTGTTAGGAGGGACATTAAAAAACTGAAGTTTGCCCAGAAGAAGGGAACAGAATGGTGGGGGGGTCTGGAAGTCATGTTACATAAGCATATGTTGAAGTAACTGAAGTTGTTTAGCCTGAAGAAGAAAAGGCTAAGGGGAGACATGATAATTGTCTTCAGAAGTAAAGGGCTGAAAGAGGCATTAATTTGCCTTGTTCTAAGTAATTCTAGAGGTGAGAATTAGGGCTAGTAGTTAGAAGTTATAAGGAGGCAGATTTCAGCTCTCTAGAAGAAAACTTTTCTAATGGTTGATGCTGTCTGATGACAGTAATGAGCTGTAATGAGCTAATCTGAGAGACCTAAACTCCATTAAAGGAGATATTCAAGCAAAGATGACCACAGGCATTTGTTAGCATGGTGAAGGACCTTTACTTACAGAGTCCTCTGTAGGAGATAAAACCTTTCCTAGGCTTGGTTCTACTTTGGACATTTAGTGTTGTCTGGGAGTAGTAGCAACATTTCCACATTGTATTTCAGGTAGTGGTAGATGATGAGGACAGTGAGAACAAAGGTTCTGGACTAGAGAGCTCCCTAGAACCGGAGTCCAGTGGCTTCTGCCAGCTCCTTTCTGAAGATCCAGATAAGGTTCTTACATTGGTGCGCTCGGTTCTGGCTAAGAAATGCCAGGCAGTGCAGGTAAGAGGATGTACCCCCTGTTCCACAGGCTTAGGGCATCTGGGCTGTCTACCCTCCACATTCCTCCTTAGCCTCATCTGATCCTCTCACCTGGAAGAGCTTTAATGCTCCTAGTTATCAAAAAAATACCCTTTTACTTCTTCATCTGTCTAATGAGTGTATGTGTGTTGTAGTTGTAGTAGTAGTAGTAGTAGTAATAGTAGTAGTAGTAGCAGTAGTAGTAGTAGTAGTAGTAGTAGTAGTAGTAGTAGTAGTAGTAG